GGGGGGGTGGGGGGGGGGGGGGGGGGGTGGGGGGGGGGGGGGGGGTCTAGGAGTGACAGTGAGCTGGAGGGGTCAGCAGGTGCTGGTGAGTGGCGGAGGGAGTGACGCGGATGGGAGGGGGCAGTGGCAGGCAGGGAGGGGACAATGGAGAATGGGGGGGCAGGCTCAAGGGGTGACAGCAGGTGCTGGTGAGTTGGGGAGGGGGTGTCTGGGCAGTTCTCAGAGCTGCTCTATGAAAGGCCTTGGCCCTTTGCCCAGCAGCCTGCACCGACCCACCTGGCCTCTGCCAAGCCTGAGCTTAGCCCTGGGCAGAGTCTGCTAAGTTTGGAACAGTGCTACCAGACAGCATATTCGGGAGATGATGTGGGTCAGACCAAGTCTGTCCCGTCCTGCTCCCCAAGCAGGGACCAGCTGCCCTGAAGCCACGGGGACGGGCATGTGTTGCCTGCCGTCTCTCCGGTGTTCCCCCCCCGTGTGGCCCCGAGGGTGCCCAGTGCCTGCAGGGGCAGCAGCATGCATGGTGGGAGGTTGATACCCCTCGGGGGTGGGGTAGGGTGACTGTCATGGCTGAGGGTGTGGCTTAGCAGGGGCTGTGCCTGACTCTGAGGGCTGGGAGCCCTCGCTAACTGGCCCAGAGGGTTCCCTGTGGGGCTTGCTGGGTATGTGGGGGGCGGGCCCGAGCTGCAGCGTGCTGGTGACAAGCCCTTGCCGACAGGGTTCCCGTGCCCCTCCCCAGATGGCGGGTGGGATGTGGCTGTTTTCTCCATGCTGACCTTCCTGTGAATCTCCTGGAGGGGGAGGCAGCTCTGGACCCTCTGCGTGGCGCTGGGGAAGCAACGGGTAACGCCAGCGTCCCGGGCGGATTTCTCTCCCCAGGCCTGTGTGGAGGGAGCGCGTCAGGCAAGACCACGGTGGCCAATAAGATCATTGAGGCCCTGGATGTGCCCTGGGTGGTGCTGCTGTCCATGGACTGCTTCTATAAGGTGAGCCGGTGCGCCCCTGGGAGAGGGGGACCCCCGACAGGGGTGGACATCTCTGCTGCACGGCGCTCTGGCACTCGGCTGCCCCAGCCCTGAGGCTGACCAGCTGCTGGGAATGGGGGTGGGGGGCCAGAGCCTAGCTGAGGCTGAAGGCTTGGGGAGCTGGGCTCCCTGAGCTCTGCCCAGGAACATCTCCTGCCTGGGAGACAGCCCTGGGTCCCCACCTGTGGGGCAGCTGCTTGGGGGGTGTCAGGGTGGGGGCACTGGGCTCCGTGTCTGAACTTTGGCAGATCGAACGGACTAAGTTTCTTCCATCTTATCAACCCTTCCCCATGCCCCTCTCCCTCCCTTCCACATACTGCACCTGTGCCCCTCCCCTGTACGCTGCTCCACCCTCTTCCCTGTGCCCCCCCCGCCCCCCAGGTGCTGAATAAGGAGCAGCAGGAGCTGGCTGCCCACAACGAGTATAACTTCGACCACCCCGATGCCTTCGACTTCGACCTGCTGATCAGCGTGCTGCGCAAGCTGAAGAAGGGCAAGAGCGTCAAGGTGCCGGTGTACGACTTCACCACGCACAGCCGCCGCAAGGACTGGGTGTGTGGGGGCAGGGCGGGGAGCCCCTCCAGACGTACGGCTTC